CCTTATATTCCTGCTGACTCAGCAGAGAGACCCTTTTTGTCTCTGTAACTTCCTTAACATATCAAGATAAAGAGTAACTTAAGAACCACTACGATTTTCCTCCATAACATTAGCAATCTCATAAATAAGCTACAGATGATTCATAAATAGATATCATGGAGATTATCGTCCAGTGTCCTTTAAATTTTAACTTTTCTCCTTCTGAATACACAGACATACTGTTTGGTATTGCTTTGTAAGTCTACAATTTGCAACAGAAAGGCTTTATGTATTCATTCCCTAAAATGAAGTTGATGGTAGGTCTCTACGGTGGGTATGGAATGAGAGAAGTCATCAGAGTTAAGGTACCCAAATGAGTTATCAGTGTGAATGCTGAAGCTGTCCAGAACTGTAATGGAAGTAGAGGGTTGTAGGCACAGAAGAAGGGCATCTTCTTAATAGTTATGTACCTCAGTTTCCTCCTCTGTAAATTGAGGCAGATGGCTTGGATGTCTCTAGGGCCCTGTTAACACTCTGCAGTTCTATATATCGAAGGGGGGTTTTCCATCATCAGCCCTATAAGGATTCTCCAAAAATATGATGGTGGTATTGAGTCTAGTTTGGAGCTGTCTAGCTATAGTTATGAGATGAGAAGATAATTTACTTGTGTAGGGAAATAGCTGCTGTTCTCTGTGCCTTTCTAGCCCCCAATTCCACCTCCTTCCACCCTAGATCTCTATATTGAATCTGTACTCACCTTCTGTGGGCTAAAGATCACTTTGTACCTTCGAGTTCTACCAGCCATTTTGTCAGTATTGACAAGGTCTGTAGAGAGAAGAGAGCCACAGTCTTTATTAGCAGTCTATTTAGTATATCTTCTATAGGAAAATTGGTGATGGCAGGTAGAATGGACCTAGCAGAGGCAGGGAAGTCAGCTGTCTTCCAGCTGTTGCCAACTAAATCACATCTTTTCCCAACAAAGGTCTATCAGTACCAAGGTCAACCACTCTTGCTTACCCTCAGGTCCAATATAATCTTAGCACCACTTTACACTCACTTGCAATGTATCGCATGTTCCTGATTCGGGGTCGGACAAGGAAGCACAACCTGAGCAGAAACAAAGATATGAGAGAAAGAGAAGGAATGTTTGTGACGAAATCAAGAAATTTGTAATAAAGCTAAAAAGGGAATGGAAATTCTTTACTCTTGAGCCATTTGCTCCACCCTAAGAGCACCTAATGTCATGATATAGGCACTTTTCAAGTTGTCCTGGCACTTCACAACCCATTGTCCAGCAGAAGCTGGAAGCAGAAGCTTCATTAAAAAAGATATTTACTAGCTACCTAGTATGCGCCTTGTACCATGCTAGGTACTCTGGATGAGACAAAGAAGTTCCTGACCTTAGGAGTCTAAAGTCTACTGAGGGAGACAAAATATAATCATAAAGTTTAGTAACAATAATTCAAGAAAAGTTATGAGGCAGTTTATAATTGACCACCAAATGAGTGGCATAAGCAAGTACACACAGAGAGAAGAGACTACTAGGAACTTGAGCCTAGACCTCAAAGAGTGGGTAGGATCTGTAGATGCAAAGAGGAATAAAAATGTCATTTTAGACAATGGAAATGGGTAAGCAAAGGCTGAGGCCCGAATAACATGGCATTTTTAGTGAACAGTGAAAAATATGACTGGAATGGAGGATGTAGAGGGTAGATTAAGTAGGGTCTGAATGCTAGATTAAGATTCTGAATTTTAATCAGTAAGTAACGGAGCTATTAAATAGTTTTGAGCAGATAAATGACATGATGAAAGCTGTGTTTTAGAAAATATAGATAATCAGGGTAATCAGGATAAGCAAGTTAGAAGGCTATAGTAATAACTGAGGCATGAAATAATGAAAGATTAGACAGAGAGATGAACCAGAACAGTATAGCATCAAAGAAGTGATGGTTAGAGTTATAGACAAGATACTACTCTTGGTCCTGGTGCTGATTTCTAAATCAAATGGACATTTCCAAGGATTACCTCCAATTAAGAGGACCAACTAAATTTGAGACTCACTGGATGGTAAAACTTACTGTTCACTGGTACTAAAGACAGGTTTGTTCTCCACCTTGTACAGTTTGTCCACTTCGTGTTGCTAAAGAAGGATCAAATGAAAGAACATATATGAAAATGCTCTGAAAAGTATATAATGTCATAAAACTATATGGCCCTATTGTAAAAGCCTCTTGGGTACTGGTATCAAAAAGTTTTGCCATGACCCTTCTATATGCTACACTAAACATTCATTAGCTAATATATTAAATTCAGTTGGAGTGAGGTACTGTGGTGTAAACATACCAAGTAAAAGAAAAGAAAGTGAAAAGGGTCATGTGTGAACCTAGTAGAGAAAATTCGTACCTTGAGAATAGAGACATTAGCAATTCGATCCAATGGGCTCATCAGGTCTGCCTCAATAAATAAGTCCTTCTTCCCAGGAAGCTGAAGAGGATACAAATAGTACGATGAGCCTCTCAAAGAATCAGTAAGCTGATTTTTAATTTTTTCAAATTTCAGGAACACTTATGAAGCACCTATTTAATACAAGACACTGTGCTAGGCCCTGAAAATATGACAGAAACAAACAGTTCGAGTTGGCATGGAGTTTACATTCTACTGGGAGAAAGACCATGTAAACAAATAAATAAATAAATAAATAGGATAATTTAAAGAGGAGTCAGGAAAGACTTCCTTAGGATATGGCACTTGAGGCGAGAAAGCTAAGGATAACAAGAAGCAGAGGTAAAGAAGAAGTGGATTATAGGTATAAAAGCAAGAAATAGAATGTCACCTTAGGGAGTCTCGACTAAGCCAATTTAGGTAGAATGTGGAATTCTTAAAAGGGAATAATGAGGTAAATATAGTAAGATAGGTGGAAGACAGATTGTAATGGGCTTTAAACATTCCGAGAAGTCTATTCTGTTCAGGAGCCACTGAAGCACAGGACACAGACAAAACCCACCTTTTCAGTTCTATCTCCTACTTTACTAAAACATTAGCTCATATTATCAGTATGGACAAGTACGAGTTTTCTACTTCCATATCTACTCAAGTTTCCTTTGTACTGGGATACTCTTTTCCTCTTCATGAACTATCAAAAAATCCTAAAGAAATTTCTGCTCACCTTGGCCTGAAGCAATCTTACCCTCCTTTGAACTCCCATAACACGGTTTGTAACCACTCAAAGGGCACTGATCAGCTATCCCTTATATTGCAGTTCTATCATTCTCCCCCACAAGATTATGAACACTTAGCAGATAGGTGTTGTTTCTGTACTGCCCACCATTCCTAGAACTTAATAAATATTTGTTATGTGAATGACTTGTGACTCTTCTCTTGCCTAGCACGGGTTAGAGGAGGCATTATTGTTAAGGACTCAAAGGGAAACATGTGGTTCTTATTTCTGTAAACAACCTAACTGAGCCCCAGGTGGCTCCCACTCCTCACACATTTATGCATATTGTCCACTCTGCCCTGAGAAGTGGCTCTTGGCCAATTTACGAGAGCAGAGAGGGCGGAGAAGCTTGAAGCCAGGTGTGCACCGACCTGCTCCAGCAGGTAGATGAGCTGGTCCCGGGCCAGTCTCTTGAGCATGGAGAAGTCGGGCAGTTCTGGGGCATCAGGCCGATGCGGAAAAGCCATGGCAGGAGTGCTGTAGAGAAGAAAGCGGCGTTTCCGACACTAGCTGAGGCGGCGGGGAAGCAGAGCCGAGGCACCTCCTCAGGCTCTGGGGCTGATTCTCCGCAAAAGGCCCACCAGCCTCCTCCCCAAGCCCTCCTCCCGCCACACCCGGCCCCGAAAAGGCCCCACCCTGGACAGGCCTCGGCGTCTTGGGTTCGAAGCCCCACAGTCTATACAGCACCACCTCAAAGGCCTCCGCCCACTCTCTCGTCCAAGGGGGGCAGATTACCTTCCCCAAGGCAAATCACCACCTTCTCTCAGAATCAATCGCTCCGGCGGAATGGGATCAACAGGTCCATTTCCGGAACACACCGGAAGTCTCTATCACCTAGCAACCCCATCGAGTCCGGAAGGGAAAGGACAACTTGGAAGCTGCGAGAGGGCAGTGACGTCAGAGGGACGCAGAGCTCGAAATCAGAAGCCCTTTTGACTTGCCTGCACGCCCTTGCTCGGTCCCTCGCCCGGAGAACAAAGGCATTGGCGCGAGCTTTGGCGAGTCTACCAGCCAGCTCGTACAGCGGAGTCCCTCTATTGTAGAGGAACCCTAAATAACCCGTCTGCCTCTAGCCCGCACCCTGATGGGGGGCGGGGGCGCGCGGCCTGGGCCTCTTGCCTTTTCTTTTGATATTGCAGCATCACAAGACTTCGAAAGCTCTGAGTGCTGGGAGAGTACTTGGGAGAAGGGTATTTAGCTGAACGCCCACCCCTCATCACAGTGTACCTGGCAATTCACGTAGTACTCAGATATTTCTTTACTGTGGAAACCACCAGGTAATTAACTTTTGGAGGGCCAACTTTATTCATCCTGTTACCTCTTCCCAGCAGGCACACAGTAGGTGCCAATTGTTGGCTGGTTCAATGAATAAACAAATGTTTGGGGCTTCCCTTCCTGGCAGGGTGAAGGTGCTTCAGTTTACCAGCAAGTCCGTAATTATATTTGGTTGATGACAGTCAAAACTTTACACAGAGCACAATAAAAAGGTCTTGCTCTATAGACCAGATTAAAAGCTAAATTTAACACCCTCTAAATGCTAACTATCTTATGACTATCCCATGTAAGGCTGGCATCAAAAGATCTTGGAGTCTGGAAACGGGCTTAGAGTTAATTTTGTCCAATCATCTTGTTTTACAGATGAAAAAACTGAGACAGAGACATTAAATAGCTCATAGATGGAAACCACCAGAGCTAAGGTTCAAATTAGAGACATTCTAACTACAAACCCAGGGTTCCTTCCTCTGTTTCATATTCCCTCTCAATGAACAGGAAGGTCTATGGGGAACAATTATAACTATTATAAGAATTTCTGCAGGCTTTTTTATTTTCATTGCATTTATAAAACAAAACAGAAATCGGCGTTTTTCTGTCTTCAGTATGATCAGTGAAGCCAATTTAGAAAGAAGCTCACAGACCCAGAGAATCAGTCTCCAATGTCACTGTGTATTACAGGGTTACAACAGGAATAGAAGGCATTCTAACTTTCACAAATTAGTGTTTAGCTTAGGTAGCAGGAAGAAAACTGGAGTCTTTCCTTGTCTGTGATCATTTAAAGGAACCAATATGCCTTGGGGGCTTCAATATCTGTCAGAATTGATTTTTGAATCCTCTTCTTGACTAAATCATGCTGAAGTCGACAACATTTCTAGTTAACCCTGCTGTTCACAGTGATAGTCCTCGTTCTTGGAACAGTTTCTGCAGTGCACCTTCCATTTGGGGGCTTGTGCCCTGAAGGCCTTTTACCACTTGTGCTGCCCACTCAAAGTACTCCTGAACCCTCTGCTCAGACCATCCTATAGGGAGACAGAGAGAATTGTTTTTACAACTACAAGTAATCAATTAAAATGTGGCTTTGCACCAGGCCTTCCATTGTCCGTGGAAGGGTTAGTGTAATGCTGTGGCACTTAACAAAAAGAGAAAGGATGTGATGGTCATCCAAAAATACTGAGATTCTTATTAAAAAGAAACATCTCCCCTTGGCAAGGCTTTTTTGGATTAAAGTCCAAGATAAATAATGAGAGGCCAAAAGGACCACAAAGTACATTGTATTCTGGGAGTACTTGAAATGCCAAAGAAATTTTAAAAATCATTTTTTTCTTCGATAAGTGATGGGCCTGTTTATCCTCCCTCTCTAACCCACAGCTCTGCTGCCGGTGGGAAGCATATATGCGTGTGTATATATATGTATATGTATACATATACATATATATACATATACATATACCTTTTGGGGTGCGACGGTTCAGGTCCCGAAGGTTGTACAGCTTATCCGCCAGCTTCACCAGCTTGGCACCCTGGCTGCTGTGCGAGGCGTTCTCCACCTGCAGTCGTTTTCGCTCCAGCTTGGGCAGCGCCTTGTTATCGGTCACTTCATCCACGATGCCCCTCACCTCCGCCCCAAAGTGTTCCTCCACCTCCTCCAAGGTGGTGTTCGTATCTTCCACAGTGTCGTGAAGCAAAGCGGCCTGGAAACGCACACAACCCACGCTGCTGTGCCGCGTCTCGGCCACCGCTTCTGCCGGGCAGGCACTGCCGGGCGCTGGGGGTCGGGGGAAGAGTGGCGCCCACCTCCCCCACCCCCCGCGGGGCGGGCCCTCGTTACCTGCAGCACCGTGATGTCCGTAACTCCCGCCTCGTGGGTTAAGATTCGAGCCACACCTGCAGGGTAGAGCAGAGCACACAGAGGTCAGGCGGGGGCTGGGCGGCCCCCAAGGGGCAGCGGCGCCATCGCCCACACCAAGGACCCACCGATGGGGTGATTGATGTACGGGGTCTCCTCTGGGTCCTTCCGCCGCTGCTTGCGATGCTTCCTGGCAGCGAAGTCGGCCGCCTCCAGAAGCAGCGCCGCGTCCGAGTTCATCGCGGCTGTCTCTGAGCCGGCGCGGGACGCGCTGGAGGCGGCCTTGGCGCCCGTAGCCAAGCACAGCGCCCCCTGCACCCCGGAGGCCGGCCCCGAACTGGCCTTTGTTGGGTCAGGACTCGCCCGTCGGCGCGCGTGACTCCCATCGGCACCCAGGCAGGCAAGTCCGGCCGTGCCCACGAGAAACGCAGGGACTCAGGGCCACGGAGTGCCGAAACAGGGCGGGTGGGATTATGGGAACCGAGAAAAAGCGTCAGGTGAGGTCGGGATAGTTGTGACGGGCCTCGGAGGAGACACCAGCTCTGCCGGCTGCAGGATACTCTCCATCCTGGTTGGTTTGTTTTTTTGGGGGGGGGGGAGGCGGGGTTGTTTGTAGTGGGGAAAAAACCACCGAAAATGATAGCCG